TTCTTGAGTAGGAGAATTGAGTTGTGACATCTTTAAGATGCATCAGTACGTCGGGTGGTCTTCTAAACTAGAACTCTGGAGACAGATACAGTAATGGTTTATGGAGGAGACTCAAGCTGGCAGGGCTCAGGTCTGAGCCCTTTGGAGGGGTGTGGGGGAGACTTAGTTTCGGGGTTCTTTTCCAGTTCAGCATTTTGTGGGTTCAGTATCTGGATCTTGTCAGCATGGGCACCTGATTCTGTCAGGTCACAGCCGCATCACTGCCGTTCAATTCAATAGAGGCATCTGAGTGCTTGTGACTAGTCACAAAGCCTGCACAGGGCTGAGCTGAGCTGAGATGTGTGTGTACCCCACCCCAACTCCAGGACCCCCTCCCTTATCAGCATCTCTGGTTTTGATCCCTGGACAATGCCTGTGTTAGGCAGAATGTGCCTGGCCCCTGAGCTTCTCCTCTCCTGATCTCTTCTCCTTCTTCCTTAGACTCCACACCACCTTCAAGACAAATCTGGTGGCTCAGCAAGTAAAGTGCGCGCCACCAGGGTGGACAACCTGAGTTTGATTCCCAAGACCAACATGATGGAAAGAGAGAACTGACTCCAACAAGTTGTCCTCCACACTTACGCTGTGGTCACACAAAACCTCATCTCCACTGAAACAAATGTAATAAATAAATAAATACATAAATAAGTAATAAAGGACAAGCTCTTTGAGCTCTGGAGTCAGGTGACTAGCCCCTGTGTCCACCATACTTTGGTTTCTTAGTTGATCTACCAGGGGGAGCTATTCTATCCTTCTCACAGTTTTCTGGCTGGCTGCTGTGGCCACCACTGCCAGCTCAGTGACAGAGGGAATACAATCCTTAGCACAGGCTCAGGTTGCAGAGAAGAGAAACTGACATTGCTACCTGCCTCTTCTGGTCTGGTTGAACCTGGGCACATCCTGCATCCTAGGCTAAAGCCGCACTCAGAATTCACTTAATGCCTGACAGCCACCTGCCATGACAGTTGCCACAAGCCCCTGGTGGCAATTTTTAGTTGTGAAAAGAGTTCCCATTTGGGAACAGCATAAGGAGAGGAAATGTATCTTAATCCCGGGCATTTTTAGTTTATTTTGTAGCAGGTCGGTTTCCTCTGTGGTGCCTTAACAAAATGTTTGTCTCCTTCTGGAAAGAAACATCAGTTATCCAGGGAGGAAGAGGAAGTTCATGTTAAAAACATCACATATGTAGGACTGGCTTCTGCTTAGAGTCAGCAGAAACCAAGCAGAGAACTGTACCTCTCTTTCCCTAAGGAGCAGAGATGCCTTTCTCTAGCCTTGAATTTATAATGATTTTTTTTTTTTTTTGGTCTTTTTGAGATGGGATCTCCTGGTAGCCACAGTTGGTCTGGAATCCACTATGTAGACCAAGCTGGCTGGCCTAAACACATAGGGATCCACCTGACTCTGCCTCCCTCCAACTACTGGGATTAAAGGCATGTAGCACCACCAAGTTTTAACCCTGAAGTCAAGGTTAGACCAAAGTCACGAAACCTGAACCTGAAGGGCCTTTTGGAGGCTACAAGCAGGGTGGGGTTTCTTTGCCTGGTCCAGAGCCACTCTGGAAATTTTGGGTTAGAGACTGACTGGAACTCTGGGTGGAGCTTCTCCATGATTCTCCTTGTGGCATGAATTCATGTAAGAATTAGTCCAAGGATGTCTTTAACCCACCAGGAAGACCTTCCCTGTGCTCAGGGACTGAAGTAGCTTTTTTGTTTTGAGACAAAGTTTCATGTATCCTAAGTTGGCCTTGAACTCCCTGTATAGCCTAGGATGACCCTGAACCTCTGATCCTCCTGCCTCTACCTCTCAGGTGCTGGGATTCCAGGCATACACTATCACACCCAGTTTTATATGGTGCTGGGTATCAAACCCAGGGCCTCCTGCGTGCTAGGCAAGTACTATCAACTGAACTACATCCCCACCCTGCAGAATGGCTTTTAAGGATTTATTTTTACTTTGTATATGTCTGTGTGTGTGGGTATGTGCACATGAGTGCAGTGCCTGTGGAGGCCAGAAGAGGGTGTTGGATCCCCTGGAGCTAAAGTTACAGATAATTGTGAGTTGCCTGATATGAGTGCTGGGAACCAAACTCAAATCCTCTACAAAAGCAGTA